CACAAGCTGGAATCAAGATTGCCAGGAGAAATATCAATAACCTCAGATATGCAGATGACACCACCCTTATGGCAGAAGTTGAAGAAGAACTAAAGAGCCTCTTGATGAAAGTGAAAGAGGAGAGTGAAAAAGTTGGCTTAAAGCTCCACATTCAGAAAACTAAGATCATGGCATCTGGTCCATCACTTCATGGCAAATAGATGGGGAAAGAGTGGAAACAGTGGCTGACTTTATTTTTTAGGGACTCAAAATCACTGCAGATGGTGATTGCAGCCATGAAATTAAAAGATGCTTGCTCCTTGGAAGGAAAGTTATGAAAAACCTAGTCAGCATATGAAAAAGCAGAGACATTACTTTTCCAACAAGAGTCCATCCAGTTAAGGCTATGGTTTTCCCAGTGGTCATGTATGGATGTGAAGTTGGACTATAAAGAAAGCTGAGCACAGAAGAATTGATGCTTTTGAACTGTGGTGTTGGAGAAGACTTTCAGAAGCCCCTGGGATTGCAAGGAGATCCAACCAGTCCATCCTAAAGCAGATCAGTCCTGGGTATTCATTGGAAGGCCTGATGTTGAAGCTGAAGCTCCAATGCTTTGGCCACATGATGCGAAGAGCTGACCCACTGGAAAAGACCCTGATGCTGGGAATGACTGAAGGTGGGAGGAGAAGGGGACAACAGAGGATGAGATAGTTGGATGGCATCACCGACTCAATGAACATGGTTTTGGGTGGACTCTGGGAGTTGGTGATGGACAGGGAGCCCTGGCCTGCTGCGGTTCATGGGTTCGCAAGGAGTCAGACATGAGTGAGCGACTGAACTGAACTGAACTGAACTGCACTGAATGATTTCTCAATAATTAAATGGCAGCAGCTGTCACCCTGACTCAGCGATTCATGCACCTCCCATCTCCTGACCACACCTCCACTTTATGCTGGCGTTATGAGTGAGTTATGGAAACTCTGAACCCTTCGGTGCTCGAGAAAAGTTACCCCTTCACTCGTCAGGTTATTAGAGAAACATCTGTAAAGTGTAGCACGTACAGTGTCTGTGTGCAATCTCGCAGTGACCTGTTCCCGTTAACTACAGAGTTGTCCCCATGGTTTTCAGTCCAGAACCAGGAAAAATGGGGCACACAGACACATTCAGACACAGGCACACATATACACACACTCATAGACACACACACACAGACCCACACACAGATACACACAGGCACAGACACACACACATACAAACACACCCATGGACACACGCACACACAGACACTCACACAGAGACACACAGACAGACATAGATACACAGACACCAACACACACACACATAAACACACACAGAGACACACAGACACAAGCAGACATGCAGACACACACACAGACACATACAGACACACACACACAGAGACACACAGACATAGAAGCACACACACACAAAAGTACACACAGACTCAGACACACACACTATTTTCATCATTGTAACTCTAGGAATTATAGTCCTATTAAATTAAATGAGTTTATTAAAGAGTTGGGAGCTCCCTGATGTACAGGCAATTACAAACCATGAAATGTATTTGATGGTTTAATATAGTTAAATATAATTAGTTAATATATCATATGTATATAACTTAATATGTATGTGATTTATTTTATATAATTTATTGTACATATAATGCATTATAGATATATTGCATTATATATAGAGTATGTATATAAGACATATAACTGATACAGAATCATCTGACAGACCCAAGGTAGACGTCTGCAGGGCAGTGAAGTCCATAGGACACAAGAGGAGAACCAACAGGCACTTAGAGACCTGAGAAATGCCAGACAACACATGAATGCCATGCAATGAATGGCATTAACCCAGCCATGCAATGAATGGCATTAAATATAAATGAAATGAATAGTGTATATACATATAAATTTATACAAATTTATTATTATAAACTTGTATAAATTTATATTCATTTATATAAATATAAATGAACAAAGGAAAAGGCAGAAATCGTCATTTTGGATTTTCAAAGGAAGACTGATGTACGTGAATTCTTTTTTCCCTTTTTTTTTTTCCACTTTGATTTTATCATTCAGATTTCTCTACGAACATCTTACAGTCCACTTGATCATGACCTTTGGAGATCTTAATATAAACAGAACTCCTTGTATTCTAATCACAATGCACGGCATCTCTTTGTTCACAAAACCCCTTCTCCAGGTATATTACTGAAACGGAGCGGGACCCTATGGTCCTTGCCCCTCACGTCCTCCACCTGCCTTTGGTCTGTGGAAAAACTTTGGCCAAAGAATCCGTTTAATCAGAGAAGTTAGAACATGCAGACGGGTGAGAGTGGGGATCGGGATGGGGAACATATGTAAATCCATGGCTGATTCATGTCAATGTATGGCAAAAACCACTACAATATTGTAAAGTAATTAGCCTCCAACTAATAAAAATAAA